AGAAATTATTTGTTTTCTATATAGCCTCAACGTATTATTATAACTTCTATAATTTTGATTATTCTGTATTTAAATGGATATTCTATAAAAATTGATTCTTAATAAAAATGTGTTTGCTTATAGCGGGTATTAGAAGAAAAACAAAAAATCAATAATTACAGACATTATTAGTTTTCTATATAGCCTGAACGTATTAATATAAATTCTACAATTTTGATTACTCTGTATTTAAAAAATTTGTGCATATTCTCCAAAAACAGTTTGAAATGTAAGCAGAAAAAATTCTACCGTAAAATGCCGCGCGGGAAGTCGTTAAAAAGCGAACGGTCGCGCAACGAACCTGTTTGCTAAGTGGCGGGGAGAGAGTTTGGTCACGAAGCGCGGGACTACTGTACGGCCTTGGGTTTTCTCGCGGACGCGGAAGGGAACTAAACGGGTACGCGCGGTAATAAGGAACTGGCGAACGCTGAAAATTAATAAAGGAACGGAGAGGATCGAAACGACCGTGGCGATAGGTGAGCACGGACGCGGCACGCGAACGGCTATCGTCGATAAATTACTGGGCCCGCGATGTTTCCGTGCGACATGAAAGGTCCGTTCGGTGGAAAAGAAGCGTCCCGCAGACGGGAAAGCAAACCTCGCGGCGAGGGCTTCGGATAAAAGTCGCGTGCGACACAGAAGCAGACCGCGACGGTGTTGGCGAGCGTTTGCCGAGTGATGCATTGGTACCGCCAAGTGATATATGCTTATGGGCCATGCGGGGTACTGGACACGCACACGCGAGGCCACGTAACAGATACACACGCGTGTCCAGCTACAGCGTGTTCATTATGTACTCCAACGAATCATAAAGCAAGCAAGGGAAGGGGGAAAAAAGATTAAAATCGCCTAAGAATTTTCCGGGGTTAGAATCTACGCGAATGCATGGGACTCTTCCAATCGATGTAGCTTACAGTGATAAGCAAATCACGCTTCATAGTATTTCCAAAAATATTAACATTGATTTAGATACGCAATATTCTATTACAACCAATAGCCAACGAAAGTCAACATTGTCTCTTCTAAGATCTTATAACGTTTGTTTGCCGAATGATGTTACCAAAATATATTGTGCTTGTTAAATTACGTTATTTACGAACCCCCTTTTTACTGCAGTTTGAAAATCCTCCCAAAGAGGCTGCCCACGAGTCTGCTCAAACTGATTCATAAAGCAAGCAAGGGAAGGGGAAAAAAGATTAAAATTGCCTGAGAATTTTCTGGGACTACAGTGATAAGCAAAACATGCTTCATACCATTTCCAAAAATATTAACATTGATTTAGATACGCAATATTCTATTACAACCAATAGCCAACGAAAGTCAACATTGTCTCTTCTAAGATCTTATAACGTTTGTTTACCGAATGATGTTACCAAAATATATTGTGTTTGTTAAATTACGTTATTTACGAACCGATAGCCACGCTTCTTCAAAAAGTGATTTTTTACCCCGAAAGATCGTATCCCCTTATTGCAATTTGAAAATCCTTCCGAAGAGGCTGTCCACGTGTCTGTTCAAACTGATTCATACGCGCGCATTTGCATTGCGGACGCGTCCCCGTGGAACGACACGACACGTTATACGAACCGTGTTGCATTATTCTAATCAAGACCCTAATACCGGCGTGCTTTTGCTTTTATTCGCACGTGGGCAATGCGGTTCGTTTGTACCCGTAATGAGCGCGATTGGGCGCGCCTCTACGTCGCCGCGATCCGATTCTACGGACGGTTTCGAACGATCTTTTCGTTCAAACAAACGACTCGAGCCGTTTTTCTTTATCTTTTTCCACCGATTATTCCACAGAGCTATAAATTGTAAATTAACCCTTTGACTTACTCGGATCAACTTCCATTCGTGGTGACACAAATTGAATTTACGAAATACACGAGTACAATTTAAACCATAGGCATTTACAAATTTTATAACTACAGATAACCCTCCTATAACACGGTAGATAGGTTCCTAGAAAATGCCGTGTTGTGTGAAACCGTGTTATATGAGACCCAGAGTCAGTATAAAAAGGGTAGTTACGTTCCGAAAATTTATTAAAAACAAATATTTTTTTTTAAATTCTACATAAGCTACTGAATTTTTATTAAAAAATATTATTTTAATTTAACGCGACCTTAATTTAACAAATTATAATTTGTTTACATTTTTCATGTAAAGCCACTATAGTTCATTGTTCCTTCGCGTCATTATTTTAAGGTAATTTAGTTTTTAAATATGTTAAGCAAAAATCATGTTATCCAGTGCTGTAGAAGTATAGTGTTGTACAAAGATTTTCGCAATTTTCTTATCGTATTAAAACGAAACCGTGTTGTAGGAGGGTTCTCGCAATTTATGAATCGTGTTATAGGATACAGTGTTGTAGGAGGGCTACCTGTACTTTCTTATGGAAATTTTTGAAATGCAAAGGTTATACATATAGTGTAATATTTTTCCATAAGTTCTATAAGATCGATCGAATAAAATAATTAGATTAGAAAGTAGAAAAATTAATTTTCAAGTTGAGACATCGAGGGAAATAAATTTGAATAGGATTTGTGAATTTTAACAAACTTACAAAATTAAGTATCGGAACAAATTTTAAATTATGCAGTTTGAAATAGTTTTCGTCCGGCAGTGAACGTGTTAACTCTTTGGGGACGCTGGGATTAAAAGTGTCCCGCCATTTTGATGCACCGTAATGCATGGTGGGACACTTTTAGTCCCAACTCGAAATATTGCAATAGCTGCATGCGCATAGGTTTATATTTCCTCTTATTTACGTGAAGCAGTTGGTAATATCTTTAACAAATGTTACAAATGTATTCACTTGTGTTGGCAACATTCAACATGCCAATACAGGTTTATTGCGGCAATCTTTTTTTATGTTTTTTATGTTTTTACATTATGTGATGCCTTTATTAATAAAAATATACCAATTTTGTTTAATTTAAAATGCAATAAAATTTCTATGCAACATGTGTCTATTTTATTAACTGAAATCCTGTGCCGCAAAGAGTTAAAGCGATTTCCGTTATTTCGTAAATGCGATCAAGGTCAAGGGGTTAAGTATGCGAAATATCGTTTTGTCTCGCGTTATTTGCGAGCGCTTCCGGCCAGGCTCGCACCGAGCGGAATCGGTTCTTCTTCGCGGCACCATTAATCAGCGCTTAGAAATCATTTTTCAGCGCCGGGTCGATTAATTTATCGATATCCGTCGGATCGATTCGTGATCGCTGGATCCGATAAGTCTCGCCGACAGCGGCAAGGAACTCTGATTTACCGGCGACTATCGGTGGTTCACGCTGACAAAAAAAAAAAAAAAAGAAGAAACGTTGAAGAAGAAGGAAGAAGGGAAGAATCGAGGGAGAGGAAGTAGGGTTAGGAAGGCAAGACATGCGTGTAACAAGCGTCGCGGGCATTAATTTAAAATGAGCTCTACGACCCTATGCAAATCGGTCGTGTACAGGAAATCCCAGGAAGCCGCCTTAAGAACGAAACGCTGCCCCTTCTTTCCTCTTCGGCGCGCTGCTTGAAATTATTATCGCGCGTAGGTCATTCCGCGAGCGCCGATAACGCGTTACTCTTCCCTCGTGGCTGCTACCTCTTCCACGGACCGTGAACCTGCACCCCGCGTCACCGATCTCTTCACCGCGTCCGTGAGCCTGGGGGATAAATTATGGCCTAGGTGGACCATTCTCGTCGCCTCGAGTAACCGTGAAGACGATTTCACGCTCCACCCGCTCTCGATAACCGCAAAGATTAATCGACGGCGAATTACGATCATCGAGTTAAAATTTACGAATACGATAAAACGTCCATTATCTCGACTAACGAGGAAATAAATACGAAGGAAATAAAATAATTTTGAAACAAATATCAGAAAGTTATTACTCAAACTTTTCTAAAATTTTAATAGTTTCACCATTCTTTTGCTTGCATTGTTCATAATGCAAATGGAAAATATAATTTTAATTATATGTTTAATTATATGTATCTAGTAGTTTTGTGACAAATACAGATTTTTGAGTATAAACAATATTAGCGTAGATCCTTCTAAACGCATCTAAAATTTCCTGTCAAAGACCTAAATATAAAACGTCCATTATCACAACTAACGAGGAAATAAAATAATTTTGAAACAAATATCTGAAAGTAATTACTCAATCTTTTCTAAAATTTTAATAGTTTCACCATTCTTTTGCTTGTATTATTCATAATGCAAATGGAAAGTGTAATTTTAAATATACGTTCGTATCTAATATTTTTATGGCAAATACAAATTTTTAAACAATATTGGCGTAGAACCTTCTAAACGCATCTAAAATTTCCTGTCAAAGACCTAAATATAAAGTACAAAAACGTTCTAAATATATTGCTCGAAACCTTAAATACATATGAATTTATTTATTATTTTGAACAGCCAAACAATTACCTACAATTATTGTTGAAATATGCATGAGAAGAAACAATAAGTCAATTAAACAAATACATGAGAAATAATGCAGAGATTGATGAATTGAATTCGCAGCATTATTATAACAATTTTCGATTAAAAAAGAACTGGATGATTATGGGTATTGTCTGCATAATGGTTTCCATTATGTTCTCAAAATTTCAAGAACAAGTGTATGATACTCAGGTACCCAAAATGGAAATCGAGATCGAACCAGGTGATTTTTCAATCGGATTTTGCAATTATTCTTTCAGATTTGTTTTGTTTTATGAAAACATTTACAAATCTGAAATAATGAGCGCAAAATCGGATTGAAAAATCAGACGCACAATCCTAGAAAAACGTGTTCGTTTTAACCTCAAAAGATGATACACGCGAAATGCGGTTGATTAAGCAATTTATTAACGATAAAACGTCCAATTCCAATTCCAGATAGAAAAAAAAAATGTAGAAATCTTGGATAGAAAGTACAATTACGATGTAAAATATAACTATGTATGTATTGTCGATTACTTACTCGGACGAAGATAACTTTCTTTTACGATCTCCCACATTGCAGTTTATCTCTAACGATGCTTGATGCTCGACATATTTTTGTAGCCTATACGTACTTGCTTTACATAGATTTTTTGCCACTGCGCTGGCTTGCTCACGACGATTTAATGCTACATACGCGGATGTGTCGGATAACCACGATACGTACACGCCTCCTGGAACAAAAATAGCACGAATTGCTTCTCGTACGAGCAAAGCTGGTACGTCGTATTTTCCAGAAAAGGACGAATAAAAAATTTGTTACGATATACTCACCAAATGGACTAAACAGTTGCGAAATATCGCTATATTTCCACTCTTTCGGGAATGTTATATGAAACACGTGATCTCTGCTAGGGTTTGCTAAACGTGAAAATGTTGTATTAGCAACATTGAATTATAAATCGTATTTGAAAATAGGAAGATTATAATATAAACGAACTTACGATCCTTTCCAACTAGGCTCACATAGGGATAATCTTTTAACCTTGCTATGAGAAGTCTAGAAGAAAAATCGTAAATTACACGTCGATAGTGAACAACATCGATAGCGAATATCGATAGTTAACATACAGTATATCGAAACTCACTTGTTGAGAAAGGGATTGAGAAGTTGTGAATTTGCAAGAACTATTGAAACCTCAGGCTTTTGTAAGGAACCTACGATAATATAAATTATAATAGAGTGAAAAATTTAGAATGTACACGCGGTTTACATAAAATATTCATACTAACCGAGATAATTGCACAATGCAATGAAACATATTCCGGTAATGTATGCGTCGTAACCCGCCTCGTGACATTTATCGGTCGTTGTGGAGTAACTTCTATCACCGATAGAATCCACATCCGGAATGTTAAATGGTGCTTGGCTAACCCTTTTTAGCAGTACGCTCAAATTCGACGATGGTACGTTTTCCTTGAATTGTTGTGATTGGCAAAGTACTTTGGTATCTAAAATTCTATTTACCACAAAAGAATTAAAAATCGTAGTTATTCAAGAAAAATAGTAAAAAATTTCTGTAGATTACCTAGGAAATAAACTATGAACGAGAGACTTAAATTCGAGATAACTCTCCGGTAAAGGTCCAAAAAACTTATGTATTATATGACAGAGATCTAGTAACATGTTGTGTCCAACTATTAATTTCCTCTGAAACAGAAATAGATTAACATTTTTTTCGTTCGATATAAAAAAGAAGCACCGACGGAACTTACAGATTCTGAAATTTTTTTCAAAAGTGCACTTAATCCGATTGCCTCTTTGATCTCTGTTATTTCTTTCTCTCTTCTCAATGTTTCCTTTTGTTCTTCTTCTTCTTTACTCCCCGATCTTTGTACTACGAGACTATATCCGGAACAATCGGATTTACTTTCGACCCTCAATTTGTTTGGCCATCTCACTTTTACTTCTTGATACACGAGTCGTCTAATAAAAGCATTACACTTATCTATCGTCAATTCTTCCGCTTCGGAAGCGATAAACTCGTCTATTCTTGAACTAAAACAATTCGTAATTATATTTTATATGACTTATTCCAATAAACAACATTAACCATTGTACTACCATATTTCTTCAATCTGAGGTCTATCATCGTCCATAATAGGTACCAATTCTGCCACTTCGTCCCTAGCTTTTTGCCTCTCTTCCAATCGCTTTAGCAACTTCTCCTCCTCGCTTGCCGTTAAGTAAGGAATACCAAACATGAAAAGTTTATTAAAATCGAAACCCTGCGTGGCCAAAAATGATATACACGAAGCCTGACACATGAACCTGCAGTCTGGAGCTGCGCGATTCAAGGGACGTGGAAAAATGTAAAAATTGTACGATCGCTGATTATACCTAAAACAACAGGACGGATGATTTACGAACAGTTAAATTTAGAGTGTAAAACCTGTGTTATCTATGCAATTCATTTACGATAATTGTTCAATATTTTTTCAATGTGTTGTTTAATTTAAACAATAGCAAAAAAATAAGAATAAATATGGAACAAACGTACTTTTGTGTTTCCGTATCAAATGTAAAAACAGACAGGCCAAGTTGTACAAGAAGAAAGTCCATGGATCCTGCTCTTAGTTTTGCATAATACTGGGCAGGTGTATCGAAAACCCCAGCATCAGGCCCTGAATTAAGTCCTGTGAATTCTCCATCGATTCCAAGAAACGAAGCAGTTTTCAAAATATCATCCAATTCTGTGAGGACCTCTTGAAAATCTGTGGAAAATTTCTAAACACTTATATGGTCAATTGGTTTATTGATAAGAATATAATAATTGAGTCTCAGAAAAACATTGTCTATCCAAACTATAAAAATTACTCCTTTGTGAAATGTTTACTTCAACAAACACAACACTTGCGAATATTTCTTTGAACTAGGGAAAAGACTACAACCATCAAGGAGACAAGTCGATAATTCTACTTTTATGAATTATCAAAAGATTTAGAAATTACAAAACGTTTGTAGGAAGTGTTTTGAAAACAGTCTGTGTAGTTACAAAGTATAGAAGATATATTGTCTTATTTGGAACAAAGTTCATTCAAAAGATAAAGAAGGAATAGTGTGAGCCAACCATGTAGGAAGAAGATTATAGATATTTTAATGTTTTCTCTCGTTTATCGGAGTTTCTGCATTCAAAGGGAGCAACGTGCGCGTACACAAAACCTCATCGTTGGGAATTGATCACAAAGAAAACGAAATATTATAAGCTCACGGTCATCACGATGTTGAATAGTATAACTTATACGACGGTAATTTTTTCCAATTACTCACTCTGGCGAGTCACTTCCATTTTTTAACCTTATACGTTGTTTATCCACACTCAACCTGTAGCAGACATTTTTGATTTTCTACCCGGAACTGTAATTAGACGCGAAAACTAACGGGACCCACCGATCCCTTACGATCTTTTCATGCCACCATATTTAATCAGTAGATTAGAGCAGAAACTTCATTGACAAAAATTGTTTAGCGATGGAGATGCCATCTATGATACATACGACATACCACAGCCGACTCTAAAACAAACCACATTGAAACGGAGAGTCCGATTTTGCACTAGATAGACAGAGACGCACAAATACTGCGTACTCTTTCTATCGAGTGCTAAATTAGACTCCCGAAATTTTATTGTTGTAAACAGATTAAATAACAGTCACAATAATAATTAAATTTTCTTAGAAGTTAATGTTAAAAATTATAATATGATAAAAATTTTGCGTGCCAAAAATTTTACCAAATATTTAATCTAAACATTAAGAATAAATAAAATTGTATGGCAATATAATTGTAGATAGTATTAATGTAAATAAATTATAACTATATAAATTACTAAAGAGTCAATTGAAACTAATTCGACATAATTTTTGGTTAAGTGTGTATAAATACTATCTATTATTTGTATCGCAAATATTATTTCATCAAAATCATTTCATTGATTGTTATAGAAACAATTTCATACCTTTAGAATATAAACATTCATTGTACACATATTTGTTAGACAAGAAAAACACATGAATTTCTTAAAATAAAATTAAATAACAAAAATTTATATAACGAAAAATAGGATCAGAATTACGTCCATTACAATACAGTAAAAACAGTCATGGATGATCTTGATTCATGTCTCTTCACTTCCCATGCGACTGTGCTTCGTAACCTGCTCTTATATATAAACAAGTGCATACTCACACGACAACTTGTGAGAATATAGAAGATTCACAGGTCCACCTAGCATCAAATTCTTGAATTAAATGTACGTGAATTACATTTGGTAGATAAAATATCAATCGCTTACAACATAGACTGTATCACCGAAGTATACGATGTCGTATACCTGGTCTGTGCTTTTATTCAAAGAATTTAGGGACTGTAAAAAACCTGCTTGCCATTTCAACGTTATTGATTTAGTATGGAATAAGAATTCAACGCCATTCACGGTGAGAAATAAAACTAACTATGCCGAAAGTACCTATTTGAAAGTGATTCAAATCTAAATCGATGCATATTCGACGAGTGTATCTGAATTTTTACAAGAACTTAATACACAATAAAATACTTTTGCGATTGTTACGGTAAATGAAATAGTTTCTGAAGGACGCAGGAAGAAGAACGCAGCCATTAGCTCATATTATTTGCTATGTAATTAATAATTATATTAATTACATAGTAAATAATAATCCCCGGGTCTCACCGCGTGGAGGTTGCTGCGAATGGATACCCACCCTAGCCTCGCCCCAACCACCCTTCCTTTGGCGAGGAATTCGAATACCTATCTAAGGGAGAAGCTATCGAAAAGTTAGAAATGAGCTACAAAAGGACAGTTCTTAAAAGAACTGCTCAATGAAGAGATGAAGAACCTAACAAAATGTCAATACATGTGAGATGATACACATGTTTTCTAAAAACGAAAATTGAAATGTGCAACTGCACGTACGAATTCTGACTGATGAAGAGATCAAAAACCTAACAAAATGTTGATACATGTGAGATAATTCAGCACATGTTTTCTAGAAATGAAATTGGAATGTGCAACTGCACGTACGAATCCTGATTACTAAAGTACCAATATGTACTTTATTATTAATTGTTCCTTCTTAAATAACAAGACACTCGTACAAAACGAAGAAAGGATCCTGAAGATCCAACCAGAAATGTGCAACTGCACGTACGGACCTTGCATATTAGAATACTAATATGTATCTTAATATTAATCATTCCCACTTAAATTTACGCACACGTTTCGGTAATATTTAATAAACGGCAGGAGAACGCTTTTTTATCTTACAATCTATATACATTTGTACTTATATTCTAACGCAATCTGTAGAAACATGAAGAAATATGAGGAAATATTTTCTTCTTGGTGTCTTCATCAATCCCACGATGTTTTTCTAAAACATACACTTATATACAATAAATATAACCGATATAAAACGAAGATATGACAAGATGTTTTCTTCTCGGTGTCTTCGACAATCCCACGATGTAATCCTGAAACAAAAACTCATACCCAATAAATATAACTCATATAAAACAGAGAAACGTGAAAAGATATTTTCTTCTTGGTGTCTTGATTAATCCCACGATGTTTCCCTGAAACATAAATCAGACAATAAATAAAATTGTATGAAATATTTCTCTAAGAGCGATCAAGATGGAATCCGTATACAATTTCCAATTCCATTCTTCAATGATTATATATCCTGTAACAAGAACTTGTTCAAAGAATTAATAGCTGAAATGAAAGTGTATTAATGGACACAGAAAAAAATAATTATGTACCGTCACGATAGACTCATGGTAAGCGATCATAGTAAAAGTGATATTATGAAATTAATGTTTTAACTAAAGCTTTCACGAGTAAAAATTGGTATTAAAAGTTTAAAAACATAAATAATACGTGAAATTGAATGAAAAGTTAAATTCGTCCCAGTGTTAAGATAAATAAGAAATAGATTGAAAATTTTATTCATTTGTTACCATTGATTTTATTTTTCAAGAAAAATATTTTCAAGACGTATACATTGCAATAATTATATTTTACTGTATTGAAAACTAAATTACGTTCATGCAGAAAAAGCAATAACGAACGAAAATGTCGATTCTGCGCGGAAATTAATTCTCAATATGAAATATCGAATTGCAATTTGCATATCCTTTTGATGCAAGCATTCTATTTTCCACCAATTAAAATAATGATCGCGAACAAACTTTGATTTATGCAAAGAATACAGAATATTTATAAAAAATTCGCTATTTATAAATAACAATTGGATTGCAAACGTTATTATATCCCGTAAAAATTACCAACTCTAAGAATGAATAATTAGTGATATAGATATCTATATAGCAATCATAAATTCAATCTACAATAAAATTAATCATAATATAGAATTTTTAAATGCATCACAAATCTGTGATGAAAATACATTCCCATATATTACAGATTTTAACACGTTATGAAGAATAAAACAATTGGTTTATTCACAACAGTGCTTTCAAGCAGTATTTCTTTTGAGAATGAACTCATAATTGGAATAAACGTCCACTCGTCTTAAATTCAAACAACCCGTGAGTGGACCATTCTTTCTTTCGCAACGCTAATTTATAAAATAAAAAGCTATACGCGAATGGTGTTTGTGATTCGTAAAATGAATCACGCAGGGTTCCTTTATTAATTAAATCGCGTGCACCTATATTCAATCATGCGCAACACTAATTTTAATAATGACGTTGAGCCATTCGAGGCTTTGCAGAATCCCAGCTTGCTTCTCGATGATGCTGGTGCAGTGGGCAGCGTTTTGGCCAGCTTTTGGGCATTGAATCGCAACTCTAATTAATAAAAAACGCGACAAGTCAAGATCGCAACGCTAATTTATAATAGAAAAATTCCAAACGCGATTTATAACAATAAAAGCAACCGCAAATTATGATTATTCGCAACGCTACCCTGAAAAGGAAACGCGAAAAATAGGAATTCGCAACTCTACAAGTAAAACGCGATTATTGTATATTCGCAACTCTATCTTTAATGGAAATACATTTATGTTTCGCAACGCTAATGCAAATCGCGTTGTCCAAAAACGCTGGATCAGGTGCTGGCGTCTTCGGATGTAGCTATAAACATACATGCACAAAATAAACTAACTACATCAAGCTACTTCAAACTACAATAGAGTGGCACATATGGGGATGAAGTTAGACGTTTTAAATATCGCAACACTACGGGGCAACAACGCGAAAAATCAACAATCGCAACGCTAATTTATAATAGAAAAATTACAAACGCGATTTATAAGAATAAAATCAACCGCGAATGGTAATTATTCGCAGCACTAATATATCAACGCGATAAATATTTGTTCGCAACTCTACGAGCAAACGCGAACATTGTATATTATTCGCAACTCTAACTTTAATCAGGGGCTATTGGTACATGTGCATAGACATGCACTGGCCACAAAATAAACTAACTACTACTAGTACTACAATTGGGGTAGAATTTGGGCATTGAAAATATCGCAACGCTAAATAAAAAATCGCACGATTAATCAAGATCGCAACGCTAATTTATAGTATGAAAATTGCAAACGCGGTTGATGTCCATTGTATATATAAAAGAGTAAAAAAGCAACGCGAATCGTGATTGTTCGTAACACTACCCTGAAAAGCAAACGCGAAAAATAGTATTTCGCAACTCTACAAGCAATCACGTTTATCAATAATTCGCAACGCTATTTTTAAGCAAACAGTACCAAAGTTTGCAAAAAAATCAATCGCGTATCGTGTCAAGGCGCAACACTACTCTGAAAAGGAAACGCGAAAAACAGTGATTCGCAACTCTACAAGCAAACGCGATTATTGGATATTCGCAACTCTATGTATATCATAACCGCGAGTTATGGGGAGGGATGGTTGGCATGTATGGTGCAATCATGTACCATCAGGTACATGCATACGTGAGCCAGTCAGAAAAATAAACTAACTACAACTACAGACGAGTTAAGTGACAAAGTAGTAATAGGAATGACTTTCCATTCTCATCCGAGGATGAAAATGAAAAGCCATTTGTTGCAGCCCACTCTTGAGACAGTTTGTCAGGGCCTCTTCGGCTCATCGAGAGCCTTTTCTTTCTTCGGCGGTCCTGCCGATGCCTGAAACTTACGAAAGACCGGGCTCGAGATTTTGTGCAATACGTAGTCTTCGAACAATATACGAATTGTTGCAAGAGCATACGTGGTGAATCTCGAGCGGGACGAACGTTTCGAAAGGGACCTAATCACGACCGCGAGCGCGAGAGAGCGACTTTAAGAGTCGCGCGATTCGAGGAGTCGAAAATAAAGCCGAAACAAACAGCACAAGTGCACCGTTTGAATCAGCAAGATTTCTACCCTCGAAATCGTAAC